TATACAAATTATCTAAAGAGTACAAGAATAACTAGACGATTCTCCCAAATCTCCCTAGTTTTTTTCTTGCATCACAAGATAACTTGTGGCTCTTGATTTCTCCTTGTCTTGTCTCCAAAGATCTCTGAATAGATATTAGGGTTAAAGAAGGTGGAATTTTATAGCTAGAAGCCCAGAACCATATTGAAATAGGAATTCTATGCAAAATTGGACTGAAATTGTATCTGAACCGAAATTGGAATTATTTTAAATTAATTTAAATTGCCGCCTTGAGATCCGCGTTGCTTGACTTAGAAATTATTGTAGGCCCATTTGATTCATCACGGCAAATTATGCTGTGCATCCATATGCACCATGCATGGTGCATACGGATGCAAAAACGACGTCGTTTTGCATCAAAACGCGCGTTCTACTTAAAAAAAAATCAGTTTCAATTCCCAGCAACAACATTTATGTTATTCATTTTTTAGCTCATTCATTCTGGATTTTTAGTTTTGAAATTCTAGATGTATAGTTATGCAATTCTGGATGTGTAGTTAATTATGAAGTTATGGATGTGTAGTTATGCAATTCTGGATTTATAGTTATGAAGTTATGGATGTGTAGTTATGCAATTCTGGATGTATATATTTATGAAGTTATGGATGTGTAGTTATGCAATTCTGGATTTATAGTTATGAAATTATGGATGTGTAGTTATGAAAATTATGGATTATGGATGTGATGAAATTATGGATGTGTAGTTATGCAATTCTGATTTTTTTTTTTAAAGTTAGACGTCAAAACGACGTTGTTTTTGCAGCCGGATGCACTATGCATGGTGCATACGGATGCACAGCATAACGGTCCATTCATCACCACCCTTTTGCTTTTAATTGGCAAAACTCACAATTCGCGCAGATTATGAAAACAAAAGGCATTCTGCCTTATTTCGACGTGTCGAACCGCTTGGTTCGACGCGTCGAACATGTGACGCTGGAAATTCTGTGCGGACTGCATGTTCTCGACGCGTCGAGTCTTCTGGACTCCAATCTTGTTTATTTTGCCTCCAAACTCGCCCTAAAATTTTCCTTGCTCATAGAATTGGTCTACAATGGTTCAAAAACATTAACAAACACCGTAAAACATTTAAAACAAGTGTGAATCATAACTAAATGATAAAACAAAGGATTATGCAATTAAATTACTGAAATCATGAACTCAAACCTATCAATTATAATTAAATCAATACTAAAAATGTGCACAATTAGGCTCACATCACATACTAATGTAGTGTTGAGTAATGTCCTTACATGATGGTGTGTTTGCATACTTAGCATGACTGGTTTCAAAACTATCACTATTAATATTAAAACATGAGAAAAAATATATAATGTTACTAATAAAAAGTTCACAAAAATATGAAATATAATTAATTAGATAAAATAGTTCGAATAAAAAACAAGAAACTCATGCAACATTGAGAGATACAAGGCCTAGCTTGTTGCCAAGGGATTTACTCAAAAAAGAAGGAATCGATTACAAGGAAACCTTTTCTCCTGTATCAAAGAAAGATTCACTTCGGATCATTCTGGCATTAGTTGCACATTTTAATCTTGAGTTGCAACAAATGGATGTGAAAACCACTTTCCTTAATAGTGATCTAGAAGAAGAGGTTTATATGAAACAACCTGAAGGTTTCTCTTCTAGGGGTAGTGAGCATTTAGTATGTAAGCTTAAGAAATTCATATACAGTTTAAAACAAGCCTCCCGTCAATGGTATATCAAGTTCGATGGGGTAATTTCTTCATTTGGTTTTGTTGAAAATTCCTCAGATAATTGTATATACCAAAAGGTGAGTGGGAGTAAAATTTGTTTCCTTGTTTTATATGTAGATGACATCTTACTTGCCACCAATGGTAAGGGGATGCTTCGTGATGTGAAACAATTTCTTTCTAAGAACTTTGATATGAATGATATGGGTGATACCTCTTATGTTATTGGCATTAAAATTCATAGAGATAGGTCCCGGGGTATACTGGGTTTATCTCAAGAAACCTATATAAACAAAGTTTTAGCTAGAGAGATTTCATATGCAAAATTGTTCACCAAACGTTGCTCCCATAGCTAAGGGGGATGAATTCAGTTTGGACCAATATCCGGAAAATGACTTGGAGAAAGAATCCATGGAGAACATCCCTTATTGGATGTCTTGGATATATTCAAGTCTGTACAAGGCCGGACATTGCTTTTGCGGTTGGAATGCTAAGGCATTACCAACACAATCCGGGATTAGACCTTTGGAGAGCTGTAAAGAAGGTTCTAAGGTATCTCAAAGGAACCAAAGGTTACAAGCTTGGGTTTAGGCAGACGGACAATTTAGATGTTGTCGGTTATTCAGACGCGAACTTCGCTGGCTGTGTTGATTCTCGAAAATCAACTTTAGGGTGCGTCTTTATTATGGCCGGTGGGGCTATCTCATGGAGAAGTGTTAAACAGTCCTTAATAGCTACTTCTACCATGAAAGCCGAGTTCGTTTCCTGTTTAGAGGCTACTTCACAGGGTGTTTGGCTAAAGAATTTTATCTCTAGGCTTAGAATTATGGATTCTATATCTAAGCCATTGAAAGTCTACTGTGACAACTCAGCTGCAGTCTTCATAGCTAAGAACGACAAAAGTGAGAGTCGAATTAAGCACATCGACATCAAGTTCTTAGAAATTAGGGAGCGTGTCAAAAATAAAGTTGTATTCATTGAACACATTCATACTGGGTTGATGTTAGCAGATCCCTTGACTAAAGGCATGCCTTCAGTTAAATTCAAGGATCTGGTTCAGAAAATGGGACTTTTATCCACTTTGTAATTTGTATATACATTCAGTTTCAATAAAATTCTTTGGCATTCAGACATTTTCTCAATTAAGTGTGTACACCTTCATTTGCTTTATATTGATGAGAAAATGTACTTCAGGGACTTGGAATAAACATAGGGTTTGTTTCATTAGGTTTTGTTTCCTAATTAAGTGCTCAATGACAGTTTGCATTTGATCATAACGGATACTACTCGCGCTAATGAGAACATATCATTATGGTTGGTGTTTTTCTGTTATTGGGTGGTAGTGCTTGCACCAAGTGGGAGAATGTAACGTTTTATCCGTTACTATTATTATAACATTAGGATAAGTTATGATAATATTCCATGTTTGATATGTGGTGCAACACTAATAACCTAATAGCTAGAATACCATTATAATTAGGAGTCTGGTTAGGGTTTAGGAGATCTAAAGACATACAACCACAATGATGGCCAGTGGTTATATAAGGTCACTAGTCCTCTCAGTGTTCACACTACATACCTCATACAACATCTAGAGAGAGTTGAATAGAAGTGAGAGACAAAACTCTGAAGCAGTCTGGATCGCTCAATACAAGAACTAATAGTTGGAGGTTAGTACGATCCTGCTATCACATATTATATGATGCATGTGATATATTTTAGTCTAACATACACTAATTTGGATTCATCATATCCTACGCTATACCATAATTTGGAACACAACATATTGACAAGTTTTGACTCTTTTAATTCATTTTATTTGGTTTAATTTGACTAATCTGAATTCATCTTAGGCCACACCTTAGCGAATTTTGACTCGTATTGTAAAATTAATTGAAAGATATCTTCAATTATGTTTTTATTAGTTTAGATTTCATTGAAGTTTTAAAACATTACTTTTTAAATGGAAAATGACATTCTCCCCTTTGTGAATTTTCCCTCTTATTTCTCCCACTCTGATGTGGTTTCCAGTCATTGAAATGCTCATGAATTGACCCACCATTAGTTAAAAATAAAGATAATTACATTAATCTTTTTAAATTATTACTGCTATACGAAAATGATAAAATATTATTTTTAGTATGAAAAAAATATAATAATTGTTCACTACTTTTTAAATTTTGATTATACCGAACAAACAGTGTATATTCTTAAAAAAAGAACTAAAAGTAGAGTGACACTATAAATTTAAGACCAATTTAAAAATCAAATAAACTATTATTAGAATATCAAATATTTTATTTGTAAAATCAAATAATTTGTACTTTTATAATGTTCCAATAATTATGTTTAATTAATAATAATATTATTATTAATAATATTTTTTGAAAGAGTCATGTTCCACCGACCCTTTCACAGAAAGTGTTGTTATACTACTTTAATTTAGTGAGGATTAAATTTCGTTTATTTATTAAATTTCATTTACTTATTTCCTCATTACCAATCTCGTGTTATCTGTCAATATTAAAAATATTTGTCTTTGATCATTTAGTTGAGGTGCATAGAATATATGTGTTTTAATATTCATATATTATCATTATATTACTTCAAAATTTGCTGTAAGAAAGAGAGTGAATGGGGGGATTTCATTGCATTTTCTAAGATCCATGATCAACAATATTAATACATTTTGGAGTGAAAATAAAATCAAACCAGTGTAAATATAATCATATTATAATTAATTAAATAAATAATATTTTTATTTTTTAAACATGTATAATATTTTAATTTCCTTATTGTAAAATTAATTGAAAGATATCTTCAATTATGTTTTTATTAGTTTAGATTTCATTGAAGAGTTATTAGTGCTATACGAAAACAATAAAATATTTTTTTTTTAATATGAAAAAAAAAATAATAATAATTATTCACTATTTTTTAAATTTTGATTATATATTCAATAAGAACATGAAATATGAGCTTTATTTTCAACTGACATATAATCTTTACATGATATAGGGGTGACAAGAAAAATCGTCACTATCTTAAAATATGATCTTGACTTTAAATATAGAAATTCTATGATGTTTCACCTTAAATATAATAGATTGCTTTATTATTTTTCTACATTTTTGCCCCATCCTTAAGAGCCTTGTTCTCGTCCTTAAGAGCCTTGGTTTCGTCTTTAAGAGCCTTGTGCTCCTCCTTAAGAGCCTTGGCCTCATCCTTAAGAGCCTTGGCCTCGTCCTTGCCATCTTCCTTAAGAGCCTTGGCCTCATCCTCAAGAGCCTTGGCCTTGACCTTAAGAGCCTTGGCCTCGGCCTTAAGAGCCGAGCCCTCGTCCTTGCCCTCGGCCTTAAGAGCCTTGCCATCTTCCTTGGCGACCTTGTCCTTAAGAGCCTTATCCTCGTCCGTAAGAACCTTATCCTCATCTTCAAGAATCTTTTCCTCGTCCTTAAATGCCTTGTCCTCCTTCTTAAATTCCTCCTTGTCCCTTGCAGCGTCAGCCGTGACGACAAGGACAAATATGCACACCAGAAAAACTGCAACAAACTTCTGGGTAGCCGCCATTGTTGTTTATTGTTTATTGTTTATTGTTTATTGTTTATCGTTTATATTGTTTATTGTTTGGTGTGTTTATTGTGTGTATATGGGCAATGGTATTTATAGTTAAAGCTAAGGGTTAGTTGTGGTGTTGCGTTGTTTTAGGATATATATGAAGCTTTAATTTAATTTAATTAATTTAATTTGCGTATAGTACTTTTCATCCGGATTTATCACAAATTAAATCAATTAATTAAATGTGGATCTGGCTTGGTCTTCAATTCCTTAAATTAATTCATTGGTCTTCCTTAATTCATTGCTTTACTGCTTCTTCCTCTTCCACTCAATTCAATAATCTCTCCCTCATCAGATAACCTTAGCTTCCTCTTCAGCGCAGCTCCACAGCTTCCTCAATTCAATATATCTATTTATTTATTTAAATTTTATTATATTTGAATTTAAATAAATATAATTAATTAAATTTAAATATAATAATTGAATCTTCATAGTGGATACAATGTTCATTTTGGATAAACTCTTACTATTCATCCTAAATAATTATTTATTTATTGAATAAATATTAACGGATCGGAGTTTTTGTAGTGTGGAAGTTATTTTTTCTCGACTATAAATAGAGCTTTCATTTTCAGGGACGGATCCAAAAATCTTCGACAGTGGGAGGCGAAATATTAAAAACTAATGAGATATTTTCAAAAATATTACTTAGAGGTCGAGTCATAAATATTGTTAATTAGGATGAAAATTAAAATATATTAAAATGAAATTAAAAAATATGAAATATAATTAATTAAGTAAAATAATTTGAATAGAAAAGATATTATAAAACACACATATCACTACTAATATTAAAAAATACTTAGAATTGATTTCGAGCCAACTGGGTTGGTCTCTGGTTGGTTTTTTTTTATCACTGGGGCCGAAGTAATGACTCTTACTAAGTATTTTTTTTCTCCTCATTGACTTAGTGGTATTTGATGGTAATTTATGGAATTTTATAAAGCTATAACTTGTGATTATTTTGTGGTGGAATGGTATACCTATTATATATTATAAACTCTATTTTGGCGTGAGTAAAAACCTATTTTTGTATGAGAAATATATTTATATGGTTATAGCAATTGATATAGGAAAAAGAAAGGATATTTAATGTGATACGGAGTATTTTCTATGCAAGTAAAAATGACTATTGGTGAACAATGTGTTTCATACTAATAGTTGTTCCATACGTGTTATATGTTGATAGTAGAGTAATAATTTATATAATAATTTATAGTATGTTATCATGTATGCTATATATATATATATATATATATATATATATATATATATATATATATATATCATACTAATACTAATATAGTATTGAGTAATGTCCTTACATGATGGTGTGTTTGCATACTTAGCATGACTGGTTTCATAAATATCACTATTAATATTAAAACATGAGAAAAAAACACAATGTTACAAATAAAAATTTCAATAAAATATGAAATATAATTGATGTTATCACATGTGCTTGTTTTTATAGTTATTATATTTTGAATCATCTCAGTAACTAAGTTCTTTAATTTTGCTTATTTTATATACACTTTCCTTGCTATTCTCATTAGAATATGATTTTACACTCGTTTTGAATATTTTACGGTATTTGTTAGTGTTTTTGAATCATTGTAGGTCAAAGTTATGAGCAAAGGAAGTTCTAGGACAAATTTAAAGTCAAAATAGACTGAATAACATGTATACAGCACTCTCGACGCGTCGAGACAGAGGGCTCGACGCGTCCAAAATTTCCAGAAGACAAAACGGGCGAGACCAACCGGCCTCAACGCGTCGAGCGAAACGGCAAATTATGCTGTGCATCCATATGCACCATGCAAGGTGCATACGGATGCAAAAACGACGTCGTTTTAAAAAAACGCGCGTCTCCCCTTAAAAAAAAATCAGGTTCGATTCCCAGCAACAACATATGAACTAAAATTTCATAATCGATGAACTATAATTCCATAATCGATGAACTATAATTCCATAATCTAATCTATGAACTAAAAATTCCAGAATGAATGAACTAAAATTCCATAATCTATAAACTAAAATTTCAGAATCGATGAACTACAATTCCATAATCGATGAACTATAATTCCATAATCAATGAACTATAATTCTATAATCTATGAACTAAAATTCCAGAATGAATGAACAATATAATGTTGTTACTGGGAATCGAACCTGAATTTTTTTTAAAGGGGAGACACACGTTTTTTAATAAAATGACATCATTTTGGCATCCATATGCACCATGCATGGTGCAGACGGATGCACAGCATAACTATCCGAGCGAAACACAGCAGCGCTGTAATACATAATACAAAAGGGGCGGCAGCAACATTCCATGATCAACAAATGGCGGCCCATTAATTTTCATGTGATTAAAAGAAGCAATGTCCAAAGAAAGAATCAATGAGATGGCAATTTCTAAAATAAAATTAGGAAAATTCCAATTCCGCCCTAACTTTTTACCAACTATAAAATCTACCTTCCTCAACTCTAAAAGATTTGGTAGTAGTTTTAGAATAGAATAGTTTTGGGTATATAATTTACAATTCATAGTTTAAAATTAAGAGATTCTTGGAGACAAGAAGTAGAGAAATTAAGAGGCACAAGTTATCTTGGGAAGTAAGAAGAAGACTAGGGAGATTTGAGAAAATCGTCTAATCAAGAGGCACAAATTATCTTGGGAAGTAAGAAGAAGACTAGGGAGATTTGAGAAAATCGTCTGGTTAGTTCTTGTACTCTTTTGATGACTTGTAATTCTTCATTTATATTTGTTATGTATAATTTAGTCATGCTTAGCTAAATTCTTTAGAGATTCTTGGGTAAAAGTGTTTATGAAATGAAACTATGTGCCTGAGCTCTCGGTTTCTTTAATATATTATTATTATTGGGTTTAATACTTGTGTTGCAATCGTGATAATATTGTTTGATGCTTGTAATTTATGGCCATAGTTACTTGTTTCGTTTGCTTTGTTTGTGTCACCAACGAGAGTTGGGGCATAATTTAGGGCACACACAATTGCACCTAATGGTTGGACCTTGAGAAAGGGGAATTTATTAGGGGGATTTAATTCTTGATTATTGCGCATCGAGAGATTGTAGTAGTTAGGAATTTATGATGCTTGATCTTGTTTTATTGGGTGTTTAAGCCACGAGAGTGGAAATTCAGTAGTGTTAGTGACTACAAGAGTAGCTCTTTACCACCTTGCATCCTCACATTTGTTAAACCCAGATTTTAATATTGTCCTTAAGATTTGGCACTAGGTGATTAAATACTTGAATCCCAGGAATCTCATCTTCTCTCTAATTGTTTTCAAAATCTTGAAGCTTTGCTTTATTTATTTTATGCAAAATCAATCATCTAAATAATTGTTAGGATTAGCTCTAATGAATAAATTAGTAACTAGTGTTTGATACAACCATTTCGCTGTGGATCGATAACTCTTACTCCGAGAATTATTTGTTTGCAAATATACTACGCATCAATAATTAATTAGATAAAATAGTTCGAATAGAAAATATATTATATATCACTAATATCACTATTAATATTAAAAATTATATTTAAAAAACGCAATATTACAAATAAAAAATTCATTTCGAATTAATCTCAATATAAATTCAAGTTTGTGGGATTTGAACCCATAACATTTAGAGAAAAAACCAAATACATAATCATCTAAGCTAACTCATCATTTGGTTATATTTACGTGATGGTGGCATGAGAGGAAGGGTTCGGGCTACCTACAGCTCTCTTGCTAGAACGTCTCCCTTCTTCGGTGCGGACCTATTTTTCCTGCCCAACGGCGCTACTCCCGAGGTCTTATCCCGGGTACTGAAATGTCCTCCCTTACTCTTCAAATAATTTGTACTTTTATAATGTTCTAATAAGTATGTTTGGTTAATAATAATAATAATAATAATAATAATAATAATAATAATAATAATAATAATAATATTATTATTATTATTATTATTATTATTATTATTATTATTATTATTATTATTATTTGAAAGATTCATGTTCCACCTACCCTTTCAAAAAGTGTTGTTGTATACTACTTTAATTTAATGAGGATTTGAATACTACTAACTCTATTACATTGTAGTATCGGTTTGAAAGGTCACTACATGCCGGTGCTTGGCGTTTACTTATTAAATTTCATTGGTCACTACATGCCGGTGCTTGGCGTTTACTTATTAAATTTCATTGGTCACTACATGCCGGTGCTTGGCGTTTACTTATTAAATTTCATTTACTTATTTCCTCATTATCAATCCCGTGTTATGTGTCAATATTAAAAATATTTGTCGGATTTCATTGCATTTTGTAAGATCCATGATCAACAATATTAATTAATACATTTTGTAGTGAAAATAAAATCAAACCAATGTTATTCGCAGACATTTATAATTAATTTAATTAAAAATACAATCATATTATAATTAATTAAATAATATTTTGATCTTTTAAACATGTATAATATTTTAATTTTCTTATTGTAAAATTAATTGAAAGATATCTTCAATTATGTTTTTATTAGTTTAGATTTCATTGAAGTTTATAAACATACTTTTTAAATTATTAGTGCTATACGAAAACGATAAAATATTATTTTTTAATATGAAAAAAATAAAATAATTATTCACTATTTTTTAAATTTTGATTATATATTCAATAAGAACATGAAATATGAGCTTTATTTTCAACTATAAAAAATGACATATAATCTTTACATGATATAGGGGTGACAAGAAAAATCATCACTATCTTAAAATATGATCTTGACTTTAAATATAGAAATTCTATGATGTTTCACCTTAAATAAATAGATTGCTTTATTATTCTTCTACATTTTTGCCCCATCCTTAAGAGCTTTGTCCTCGTCCTTAAGAGCCTTGGTTTCATCTTTAAGAGCCTTGTGCTCCTCCTTAAGAGCCTTGGACTCGTCCTTAAGAGCCTTGGACTCGTCCTTGCCATCTTCCTTAAGAGCCTTGGCCTCGGCCTCAAGAGCCTTGGCCTCGACCTTAAGAGCCTTGGCCTCGACCTTAAGAGCCTTGGCCTCGTCTTTCTCCTCGGCCTTAAGAGCCTTTCCATCTTCCTTGGCGACCTCGTCCTTAAGAGCCTTATCCTTGTCCGTAAGAACTTTATCCTCATCTTTAAAAATCTTTTCCTCATCCTTAAATGCCTTGTCCTCCTTCTTAAATTCCTCCTGGTCCCTTGCAGCGTCAGCCGTGACGGCAAGGACAAATATGCACACCAGAAACACTGCAACAAACTTCTGGGCAGCCGCCATTGTTGTTTATTGTTTATTGTTTATTGTTTATTGTTTATTGTTTATCGTTTATATTGTTTATTGTTTGGTGTGTTTATTGTGTGTATATGGGCAATGGTATTTATAGTTAAAGCTAAGGGTTAGTTGTGGTGTTGCGTTGTTTTAGGATATATATGATGCTTTAATTTAATTTAATTTGCGTATAGTACTTTTCATCCGGATTTATCACAAATTAAATCAATTAATTAAATGTGGATCTGGCTTGGTCTTCTTTAAATTAATTCATTGGTCTTCCTTAATTCATTGCTTTACTGCTTCTTCCTCTTCCACTCAATTCAATAATCTCTCCCTCATTGCCCGCATGGGTAGCTCAACTGGTCAGGTAAAACTTTGGAAGAATGACCAGGAATCGAGTCTCACCAATGGCAGTGTGTGAGCAACCACTCAAAGTGAGGGGGCTGCTTGTGCGCAATGAGCACTGGTCTAGCCTCTGTGGTTCATATTCAGTTGAGTCACCATAATTTACATCCTCCCACATACTCTGTCGGGCCGGGGTGTGGGCGGCTCTTGGGGTTGGGGTTCAACTTTTTTTGAAGAATAATCCCTCCCTCATCAGATAACCTTAGCTTCCTCTTCAGCGCAGCTCCACAGCTTCCTCAATTCAATATATTTATTTATTTATTTAAATTTTATTATATTTGAATTTAAATAATTATAATTAATTAAATTTAAATATAATAATAGAATCTTCATAGTGGATACAATGTTCATTTTGGATAAACTCTTACTATTCATTCTAAATAATTATTTATTTATTGAATAAATATTAGCGGATTGGAGTTTGTTGTAGTGTGGAAGTTACTTTTTCTCGACTATAAATAGATCAAAGCTCTCATTTCCAGGGACGGATCCAAAAATCTTCGGCAGTGGGGGCGAATATTAAAAACTAATAAGATATTTTGAAAAATATTACTTAGAGACCGAGTCATAAATATTGTTAATTAGGATGAAAATTAAAATATATCAAAATGAAATTAAAAAATATGAAATATAATTAATTAAGTAAAATAATTTTTTTTTTGAAAGTAATTAAGTAAAATAATTTGAATAGAAAAGATATTATAAAACACTCATATCACTATTAATATTAAAAAATTCTTAGAATTGATTTCGAGCCAACTGGGTTGGTCTCCAATAGTTATGCTGTGCAACCGAATGCACCATGCGCATGGTGCACACGATGCAAAACGACGTCGTTTTGACTAAAAACGCGTGTCCTACTTAAAGAAAAAAAAATTCAGGTTCGATTCTCGGCAATAGCATTATTGTGGATATATAGTTATGAATTTATGGATATATAGTTATGAATTTATGGATATATAGTTATGAATTTATGGATATTTAATTTATTCATTGTGGATATTTAGTTCATTCGTTGTAAATATTTACTTCATTCATTCAATGTGGATATATAGTTATGAATTTATGGATATATAGTTATGAATTTCTGGATATATAGTTATGAATTTGTGGATATATAGTTATGAATTTATGGATATTTAGTTCATTCATTGTGGATGTTTACTTCATTCATTCACTGTGGATATATAGTTATGAATTTGTGGATATATAGTTATGAATTTATGGATATATAGTTATGAATTTCTGGATATATAGTTATGAATTTGTGGATATATAGTTATGAATTTATGGATATTTAGTTCATTCATTGTGGATATTTAGTTCTTTCATTGTGGATGTTTACTTCATTCATTCACTGTGGATATATAGTTATGAATTTGTGGATATATAGTTATGAATTTATGGATATATAAAAATGTCATTGCCGGGAATCGAACCTGATTTCTTCTTTAAGTGGGACGCGCGTTTTTTAACCAAAATGACGTCGTTTTGCATCGAATTCACAATGCGCATGGTGCATTCGGTTGCACAGCATAATTTGCGGTTGGTCTCTGGTTGGTTTTTTATCACTGGGACCGAAGTAATGGCTCTTACTGGGTATTTTTTTTCCTCCTCATTGACTTGGTGGTATTTGGTGGTAATTTATGGAATTTTATAAAGCTATAACTTGTGATTATTTTGTGGTGGAATGTTATACCTGTTATATATTATAAACTCTATTTTGGCGTGAGTAAAACCTTATTTTTGTATGAGAAATATATTTATATGGTTATAGCAATTGATATAGGAAAAAGAAAGGATATTTGTGATATTTTGAAGGATCATCTAGACCACTCACTTTCAAACTGTCCTGGATCCAGTCTTAGGCAGATGATTTCAGGAATGCATTCTCTAAAGCAAACAATCCTCTGTGCTCCTTTAAGGCATCCTCGTGTAAACTTTTGTGTGGGAGAAGCCTCCTGATGAGTTCGTTAAGATTAATGTGGATGGTGCGGTGTCTTCTAGTCACGTAGCAAACTGTGGAGGGGTGATCAGAAACCATACAGGTGAGTGGTGCACTGGCTTCACCTACTCCATTGGGAATTGCTCGCCCTTCGAGGCGGAGGCCTGGGCGCTTTTGAAAGATATCACTATTAATATTAAAACATGAGAAAAAAACACAATGTTACAAATAAAAATTCCATAAAAATATGAGATATAATTAATTAGATAAAATAGTTCGAATAGAAAACATATTATATATCACTATTAATATTATAAATTATATTTTAGAGAAAAAACCAAATACATAACCATCTAAGCTAACTCTTCATTTTGTTATATTTACGTACGTGATGGTGGCATGAGAAGAAGGGTTCGGGCTACCTATAGCTCTCTTGCTAGAACGTCTCCCTTCTTCGGCGCGAGCCTTCACTTCCAACCTTTATTTTCTTAACTAACCTATAAACATTTTTCCCGCGCTACTCCCGAGGTCTTATCCCGAGCCTACGTACTGAAATTTCCTCCCTTACTCTTCAAATAATTTGTACTTTTATAATGTTCCAATAAGTATGTTTGGTTAATAATAATAATAATAATAATAATAATAATAATAATAATAATAATAATTTATTATTAATATTTTTTGAAAGAGTCATGTTCCACCGAGAGGTCACTATATGTCATTTGAGCACAAGGTGCTTGGCGTTTACTTATTAAATTTCATTTAATTATTTCCTCATTATCAATCTCGTGTTATCTGTCAATATTAAAAATATTTGCCTTTGATCATTTAGTTGAGGTGCATGGAACATATTATGTGTTTTAATATTCATATATTATCATTATATTACGGATTTCATTGCATTTTGTAAGATCCACGATCAACAATATTAATTAATACATTTTGTAGTGAATAAAATCAAACCAATGTTATTCGCAGACATTTATAATTAATTTAATTAAACATATAATCATATTATAATTAATTAAATAAATAATATTTTTTGATTTTTTAAACATGTATAATATTTTAATTTCCTTATTGTAAAATTAATCGAAAGATATCTTCAATTATGTTTTTATTAGTTTAGATTTCATTCGAGAATAATAAAATATTATTTTTTTAATATGAAAAAAGATAAAATAATTATTCACTATTTTTTAAATTTTGATTATATATTCAATAAGAACATGAAATATGAGCTTTATTTTCAAGTATAAAAAATGACATATAATCTTTACATGATATAGGTGTGACAAGAAAAATCATCACTATCTTAAAATATGATCTTGACTTTAAATATAAAAATTCTATGATGTTTCATCTTAAATATAATAGATTGCTTTATTATTCTTCTACATTTTTGCCCCATCCTTAAGAGCCTTGTCCTCGTCCTTAAGAGCCTTGGTTTCGTCTTTAAGAGCCTTGTGCTCCTCCTTAAGAGCATCGGACTCGTCCTTAAGAGCCTTGGACTCGTCCTTGCCATCTTCCTTAAGAGCCTTGGCCTCGGCCTCAAGAGCCTTGGCCTTGACCTTAAGAGCCTTGGCCTCGGCCTTAAGAGCCGAGGCCTCCTCTTTAGCCTCGGCCTTAAGAGCCTTGCCATCTTCCTTGGCGACCTCGTCCTTAAGAGCCTTATCCTCGTCCGTAAGAACTTTATCCTCATCTTTAAGAATCTTTTCCTCGTCCTTAAATGCCTTGTCCTCCTTCTTAAATTCCTCCTTGTCCCTGGCAGCGTCAGCCGTGACGGCAAGGACAAATATGCACACCAGAAACACTGCAACAAACTTCTGGGCAACTGCCATTGTTGTTTATTGTTTATTGTTTATCGTTTATATTGTTTATTGTTTATTGTTTGGTGTGTTTATTGTGTGTATATGGGCAATGGTATTTATAGTTAAAGCTAAGGGTTAGTTGTGGTGTTGCGTTGTTTTAGGATATATATGATGCTTTAATTTAATTTAATTTGCGTATAGTACATTTCATCCGGATTTATCACAAATTAAATCAATTAATTAAATGTGGATCTGGCTTGGTCTTCAATTCCTTAAATTAATTCATTGGTCTTCCTTAATTCATTGCTTTACTGCTTCTTCCTCTTCCACTCAATTCAATAATCTCTCCCTCATCAGATAACCTTAGCTTCCTCTTCAGCGTAGCTCCACAGCTTCCTCAATTCAATATATTTATTTATTTATTTAAATTTTATTATATCTGAATTTAAATAATTATAATTAATTAAATTAAATTCAAATATAATAATAGAACCTTCAAAGTTGATACAATGTTCATTTTGGATAAACTCTTATGATTATCCTAAATAATTATTTATTTATTGAATAAATATTAAAGGAGTTTGTTGGAGGGTGGAAGTTACTTTTTTTCGACTATAAATAGAGCTCTCATTTCTTGGGACGGATCCAGAAATCTTCGGCACGGGAGGCAAAATATTAAAAACTAATGAGATATTTTAAAAAATATTACTTAGAGGCCGAATCATAAATATTGTTAATTAGGATGAAAATTAAATCAAAATGAAATTAAAAAATATGAAATATAATTAATTAGGTAAAATAATTTGAATAGAAAAGATATTATAAAGCACTCATATCACTATTAATATTAAAAAATACTTGAAATTGATCTTGAGCCAACTGGGTTGGTATCTGGTTGATTTCTTTAATCACTGGCACCGAAGTAATGGCTCTTGCTGAGTATTTTTTTCCTCCTCATTGACTTGATGGTATTTGGTGGTAATTTATGTTATTTTATAAAGCTATAACTTGTGAATATTTTATGATGGAATGGTATACCTATTATATATTATAAATTATATTTTGGCTCGAGCAAAACCTATTTTTGTATGAGAAATATATTTATATGGTTATACCAATTGATATAGGAAAAAGAAACGATATTTAGTGTGATATTTTTTATGCAAGTAAAAATGACTATTGGTGAACAATGTGTTTCATACTAATAGTTGTTTCATACGTGTTATATGTTGATAGTAGAGTAATAATTTATAGTATGTTATCATGTGTTGTATATATATATCATATATACTAATGTAGTGTTGAGTAATGTCCTTATATGATGGTGTGTTTGCATACTTAGCATGACTGGTTTCATAAATATCACTATTAATATTAAAACATGAGAAAAAAATACAATGTTACAAATAAAAATTCCACAAAAAATATGAAATATAATTAATTAGATAAAATAGTTCGAAAAGAAAACATATTATATATCACTATTAATATTAAAAATTATATTTAAAAAATGCAATGTTACAAATAAAAAATTCAATTCGAATTAATCTCAATATAAATTCAAGTTTGTGGGATTTGAACCCATAACATTTAGGGAAAAAAACCAAATACATAACCATCTAAGCTAACTCATCATTTAGTTATATTTACGTGATGGTGGCATGGGAGGAAGGGTTCGGGCTACCTACAGCTCTTTTGCTAGAACGTCTCCCTTCTTCGGCGCGGACCGATGAGCCTTCACTTCCAACCTTTATTTTCTTAACTAACCTATAAACATTTTTCCCGCCCAATGGCGCTACTCCCGAGGTCTTATCCTGGGCCTATGTACTGAAATGTCCTCCCTTACTCTTCAAGGATAAGACACGTCGAGCTCCGATAGCCAAAATCTCTCGGGTCGGGATTACGATAATGAGGTCGAGGTCTGCTTCTTTACCGTCTTCACAGAGGATTCCAACACGCGAGAGAACGATACCTTCTAGGCGGAATCACCCCGAGCATCCGGAGATGGGGATGACATCGAGCGACCTGCCATCCCATCGACTAAAACCGGTGAGACCGGACCCTCCGGATGGGGAATGTCACTTCAGATCATGATCACCGTGTTTCACCCTTCTCTCTCCCCCGCTTCGGTTTCCCAATTTGCTGCGACCCTTCCGGGCCAACCTTCTTCTTTGACTTCTGCCGCTCCGGGCCTCAGGAAAAACAAAGTCTTCCTAAATAGCGAAGTCGTGGAGCAGCACCTTTGCCTCCTAACCTTTGCTGAAATGGAGGTAATTTCAATTCATCTCTTCTAACTGGTCGAGTTATTTTCAACACCTACCGATCTTTGGGGAACATTAAAGAACGGACCCGGGGCGACTGGCTCGGGATCCATCTGGACGTACTCCCTTAAAGTCCCCTCGACCTTTCCGTTTTCTCCCTTCCTTCTCACCTTTCTCGGATACTATGGGATCCTCCCCAGTCAGATCAGCCCTAACGGCCATCGTAGCTAGCTTGTGACATGCCGTAATCATTTATTCCAGAATTATCTCTCGTAATTATTTTCTAAGTTGGGGTTTGTTCTTTTAACTAAGTCCAACTCTTTAATTGATTATAATTCCTAGAATATGTTTATTCTAAGCCCAATTCTTACTAGTTCATATATATATATATATATATATATATATATATATATATATATATATATATAATCTTTTTAAGACATTTAATAAATTGTGGATTTCTCCGCAAAATGTGCGGATTTTAGGTTGCACAATTGATTTCTCCGGCTGGATTTTAGGGGATTAAATAAGGATTTGATTCCTTAGATAGGTATGAACTCTAGGTTGCACAATTGATTTCTCCACAAAATGTGCACAGTCAAAGGATGCATAGTTCGCAACCAGAATAACTGCTGCGATTTTGCACACTACAATTCCAAAAGCTGCTCAATAAAAAATAGTAACATTTCAAAATTGACTCCTTATACACTATAGGTCACAAACACAACACAGTCCAATACGAAACACGTAGACTACCGCAGTGCACGTAAATATCATGTAGTTGCATACCACATACACAAGGATGCACAGATGTTGATAAAAATGTGCACTGTCAAACACAAAAGTATGCACAGTTCGGAACCAGAACAACTTTACAGTAAATGCATAAACACTCCCTAAAATCATGCAAAATCTCAAAAAATAATATATTACCACTTTTAATTGCGCAGACTAATTACGGGATTACCCTTGCCCATACAATTGATAAGGAAATTAAAAAATAATGATATCCAATCCTACCTAGGGGTGGGCGTCGGTTCGGTTCGGATGACACCCAAATTTTTTTCGGATAATCCAAAAATTTCGGGTGACGTTTTTTACACCCGACGTCCGAATCAAATTTAATTCGGATATATTCAGTTTGGGTGAAGTTATTTCGGATTAGACTGGATATACCCAAATTTTTATTTTTATCGATTTTGTGTTTTTTAACGATTTTTTTTATTTTTGAATTTATATTTTTTCATATACTATCAAACTAAAAGTAAGACAAAATACTAATTACTAATTAAGAGACTTTTGAGAATTTTAATATATTATTAATTATGAAATACATTTAAAATTAAATATGTAATTTATATTATTATATTTATAATAAAATTTTGGTTATTTCGGGTCGGATATGGATAAATTTTTAACACCCGATATCCGAACTAAATTTATATTCGAATATACTAAATTTTAAAAATCTGAACCGATAACTATTTGGATTCACCCGAAATTTAAAATTCATTTCGGTTTTCGGGTGGTGGTGATTGTTCGGATAATCCAAATTACGTCTACCCCTAATCCTACCCATTAGTGATGTCAAGATCAATTGATGAGGATTGTCCACACGAACTCATGGGAAGCGGACTCACTTAAACAATGGCATATATATATATATATATATATATATATATATATATATATATATATATATATATATATATATATATATATATATATATATATATATATATATATATATATATATATATATATATATACTAATAAGAGCCCAAGGGAGTTAGGCCTATAATGGGTATGAATGGCTCAGATTGATCATATTTTAATTTTTCCTTAAGATTTCCTAATTTATCCTTAATGAATATGATTATTCGTTAACTTTTCCGTTAGATATTATCTTTTCCGTTAATTTCTGTTAGTTCACACAGTTAACTTACTCATTGATTTCAATAAGAAAGATTTTATGTTCGAACCACATCCCAATCAAAGTTGGCATAATTAGTACTTTATTTTACTCTTATTAAATTATATAATAATTTAGTAGCTACAACAAAAAATAATACATATGCATTTCTTTAATTTAGAATTATGTGTCTACAATGTCTTTATTCAAAAAAATTATTCATTATCAATAAATTAAATAAGAGAAATAATTTCATTAGTTATATTGTATTTATTTTTCTCCAATATAAAAATTCTTTACATTCAAATTCATCATTATATTCGCTACATTCTTCCAAAAAGGTTGAACCCCAACCCTAAGGGCCCCCAACACCCCGGCCTGACAGAGCATTTGGGAGGATGTAAATCATGGTGACTCAACTGAACATGAACCACAGAGGCTAGACCGGTGCTCACTGTGCACAAGGAGCCTCCCTCACTTTGAGAGGTTGTCCCTACAATGTCTTTATTTTAAAAAAAAAAATATTCATTATCAATAAATTGATTAAGAGAATTAATTTTATTAGTTATATTGTCTTTATATTTCTCCAATGTAAAAATTTTTTACATTCAAATTCATCCATTGATTATATTCACTACATTGTCTATTATCTTTCTTCTTTTTTTTTTTTGCACTATTTTTTAATTAAATATCAAAGTTATAATACAAAATAATGTTATATATTTATTTACCAAGTATTTTATTAAAACCATGAAAAAAATTAAAAAAATATAATTAATAAAGTCAATCATAGGGATTTGTTGACAAAGAGAGTATTCAAATCACACAACAAATTGAAGTAAGAACTACCTCGCAAT